GAGTGACTAAAGCTTCTAACCGCTCCTTGTTTTCTTTTCTTTTTTTTTTTTTTTTCTGGGCCAGCTTTAGCTCCGAGGCCTCGCTGCTGAAAACATTGATACAATGTTGTGGTCCGGCTGGCTGAAGCCCGGCTGACTGAAAGCCGGTTTCTGGGGTTTTGTTTAGCTTCTATATTTGCAACATAGTTGCTTAGAGTTGCAGCTGAGAGGCCAGCAGCGGCAGGCAGGGAACACAGAGTTCGCTGTCACTGGAGCAAGCAAGCCTCCCTGTTCGCTTCAGTGCATGGCTGCTGGCCGCCATCTTGGCTGACAGTTAATTTGCATAAGGATATGCTGATTAGCCAATGGGAAGGGTAGCGGTCGTACGCTAATTACCATGTTTCTCTTTTATTAGTGTAGATAAGCAATTCATTTCTTTAAGCCTCATTTCCTTCAAACTAAATACTACTACTTTTTCATCCATAATTTATGCCATCACACATAAGCCTGTCAAACTTACATTACAAAATTTTAAAACAAATTGCTGTATTTTTTACCCTGGATAAAACTTATTCACTATTAATCATTTCTAATTCACTAAATGAATTCCCACAAGTGGAAATCTTACCTGCAAAATGGGAAAAGTAGCAGTGGTGATGCCCATTTTGTGGAAATTTAAGAGCATTTCACTTCCACTCCATATTTTACAGGATGATTCATAATCCCGTTCCACAAGATGTTCAGAGTTTGCTTCTAACCAACTGGAATAAAATAAAATAGTCCCCATCAACCAGTATCATCCTATAGGCACCATTTTCACAGAACAGAGAATTGAGATATGTTCATCTGGATTCCTTGAAGATCTTAGGACACAAATATGGATTAATTAAGACATATTTGTGTCCTAAAAGCATGCAAATCTCATACCAGCATTACAAAATAAACATTCACATAGCTAAAAAGCAAGCTTTCAATCAGAAAACAAACAAACATACAAACAAGCTTTTATTCACAAAAGAAAAACAGGCAGCGTTTTGTGGATTCAGCTGCTTTACTTGACTCTCTCCGAATGAGAGCCATGTCTTGGGAGCTTCATCCCAAATACACATTAAAGGAAATACAAAACTACCTAATAAAAAAATTTAAGTTACATATTAACACACAAAAAAGAGAGTTAGTAGAGCCCTGGCTGGTTTTGCTCAGTGGGTAGAGCATTGGCCTGTGGAATGAAAGGTCCCTGGTTCGATTCCTGGTTAAGGGCACATGCCTGGGTTGTGGGCTCGATCCACAGTAGGGGGTGTGCAGGAGGCAGCCGATCAGTGATTCTCTCTCATCACTGATGTTTCTCTCTGTCCCTCTCCCTTCCTCTCTGTAATCAATATATTTTTTAAAAGTGAATTACTAGAAAATATATAAATATATTCATTAATTTATATACACATGTGTACATCCAATAAGTGCTTAAATGCCAATTATTATGCCAGACAACTATACTAGGTAGTAGAAATACAGCAGTACATAAAATAGGGAAGGCCCTTATTCTCATGGAAATTACATTCTACTAAAGGAAGAAATTTAGAAACAAATACATGAACAAGAAAATATCAGGTAGGAATAAGAAGTATAATGAAACTAAATTAGATTAATATAATCTAATTGCTACTTAAATTTGAATATCAAGAAGGCTCTCCCTGAGGTAACATTTATTCTAACAACTGAAGGCAAATGTACTTAGTCATGGCAGTATTGAAAGCAAAATGTACCCAGTCCTGGGAGGATCAGAAGAAAATAATGCAAAGATCCTGAGGTGGCTCACAAATTATCCTCCTTTAAGGACCTGAAGAAAGCCAATGTATTTGCAACACAATGGGCAAAAAGGAATAATGGTATGAATAATGTTAGAGTGATAAGCAAGAATCAGATCATGTTAAGTCAGGATAAGAAATTTGAATTCTATTCAAAATGCAATGGGAAGGTTTTAAATGGAGGATTTTAAATAAGAGAGAGAGACCATCTATTCTAAGTGTTTAAAAGATGATTCCTGCTTCAAAGTCACAATGGAGAAAGGCAAGAGTGAAAGCGGAGACTGGTTAGGAGGCTGTTACAGTATTCTAGTTGAATGGTAGACATGAGACAGGAATTTGGGATATATTGTACAGGTGGCATTTACAAGACTTACTGATAAATTGAATGAGGTGGGGCGGTAGTCGAGAATTATACTTAAATTTTCTATTTGAGAAAATGATTAGTACTGTTTGCTTAGATGAGAAAGACAGGGGGTTAAGTAGGGGAAGGGAATAAGTTTTGTTTTGGAAAGCTGAAATTTTATATCCAAACAAAGATATAAAGTATAGTTGGATTTATGAACATAGCACTCCTGGGAGAGGTTGGGGCTAGACACAGGTTCAGGCCTCGGCAGTACTGCTGTGGGACTGGGTTATACAATTTAGGAGAAATGCAGAGCTAGAAATGAAATGAGGTCCTAAGACAAAGTCCTGAGGCACTTCAACATTTAGACATCAAACAAAACAAGAACTATCAAAAAATTGAGAAAGAATGGACTCATTATGCATAAACATGCACTAAATGATAAATTTGTATAGGAGGACAAGAACTAAGCATTTGGGGGTGGGGTGAGAAGGAGGTTTTTACAACAGAAATTTGTGTATACCTTTTCTGTTCAAACATGTGACTATGTAACTTTCACATTTTTAAAAAGTATACTGTTAAAGAAACAGAAAAATGCTGAGATAAATGAAATAGGATGTAGAGTCAGGGGAGGTTTTTTCTAAGATCCTATATAATAAAAGCCTAATATGCTAAGTGTCCGGTCATCCATTCAACCAATCAAAGCGTAATATACTAATGATATGCTAAGACTGCTCAAGTGCTCGCTATGATGTGCACTGACCACCAAGGGGCAGAGAGTCGACTGGTCGACCAGTGGCTATGACGTTCACTGACCAGCAGGGGCAGATGCTCCAACTGGTAGGTTAGCTTGCTGCTGGGGTCCAGCCAATCAGGACTGAGTGATACAGGCTGGACACACCCTGGAGCCCTCCCACAGTCCCTCCCCAGCTGGCCAACCTCCCGCGTCCCTCTCCGGCTCTAATCGTGCACCAGTGGGGTCCCTCAGCCTGGCCTGCGCCCTCTCGCAATCCAGGCTGAGGGATCCCCGCCAAGTGCACGAATTTCACACCAGGCCTCTAGTAAAGAGATAAAAAACCTAATGTCTAATGAAAGAGAAATTATGTAATATAAATCTTAATGAAATTACTACTAAATATATTATTTTATAGTATTGAAATATTGGTTAATTGAAATTCATTAAACTAGAATTCTACTCAAACTGGACGATAAAGCAATAAATTAAAGCCATATCCAGAATTTTAAAATGTTAATTAAAACCATTAATTTATGTACAGCCCAATGTCCTATACACAGCATAAGTGGCTGTTAAATTATCCTCTTAAATCAAGAATAAGATTCACAATTATCAATTTAAAAAAATCTATTCTGTCCATTATGTTCTTTTGAATAAGACAAAAGTTTGGACTAGGCCTATTTTTAAAAGTTTAACTGATAAGGAACAATCCATTTCCAAAGCAGCCTGGTCAAAGTTTGCTAACAATAAAATACTCTGCAAAATAAAACATGTTTTTAATACAAAGGCAGCACAAATGACACTGATAGACAAATGTTCTTACTTAATGAGACTGCAGCACACAGCTTGTAAGGGTTCATGGTCTTTCTTCCTTATGTTATTGTTGACCATGCTATCTAGTTCATCTCGAGCAAACCGAAGCTGAACTTCCGTTATACTATAACTTGCTGATTCCCGAGCACAGTCCTCAATGTTATGAGCTTCATCTAAAATGACAACCTGTTCTTTCAGATTGATATCCATCTATAAGATAAAAAAAAATTCCCCGTAAAACTTTCAGCAAAATGCATTTAACAGCAGTAGGTAAGATGTTTCATTTAAAAATTCACACTATAGACCAATATTGCATGTGCAACTGATTCCAGGCCTTGAAACTTCTAAAGCACTAAAGCCAACCAAATATCAGCTCAACATTACAAAGTTTGCCATTTTTCACTCTCAAAATACTTTGCAAACCTATCACAACCAAAATAATGTGTTAAGTGAGTCTGGATTAAAGTACAGCTGGCTACACAAAGGAGCATAAAAATCCCTCTATGAAGGGATCTCCAACATAATTTAAAAAGCAGAGTAAAAAAAAAAACCTTTAAAAGTAAAATAACAATACAAGATTCAAAAGACTCAAAACATTAATGTATCTTTCGTTTTAGTCTGTCCTGCAACAATTCATTGTAAGAACCGCTCTTCCCCAACTCCTATGTGATGTTGGAAGGACGGTTAATCTGTTAATCAAGGGACATCACCACTCTTACTACATGGGTAGACTCAGAGACTAGGCTTGTCAATTAAAAAAAGTATTACATCCCTACATGGTCACAGTGACTGGTACAAGAATGGATATGAGATCCAAACTAGGCCAATCAGAGTAATTTGGGGTGACTAATATAAGATCATGTTCTTTTTTCCAGGTTAGCTAGCTAGCTACCTATGGTTATCTTTGTTCCCATTGAAAAGAACTTGCCTGAACATAAAGCCATCACAATGAAGAGTTAGTCAAGTGGTTTTTCTTAAGCTCTAATGAAGCTGAGTTTGTGTCACTTGCCATTGGAAAAGTCCTGACTAACACCAAGAAATGTCACAAAGCAACTGTCAATGAGTTACTCTGAAGAAATAATAATATACAGAGGGTTGAAGATGACTGAGAAAGAACCATAGAAGAGTAGGAAATACACGGGGCTTAAGGAGGAATAGGACTTGGATTTGGATAGAAGAGAGTAGGTCATTTCAACACAGGTGTCATCAAAAGCAGAAATACAGGCCTGGCCAAATGGCTCAGTGGTTAAAAATAAAAAAGCAGAGATATAGGAAATAACAAGGAGTCCTCAGGGGACTATAAGGTAATTTTTATTGCTTGATAGATTTTAGAGAGAAACATTGACTTGTTGTTTCACTTATTTATGCATTCCTTGGTTGATTCTTCTTTTTTAATTTTTTTTCTTTATTGATTAAGGTATTACATGTGTCCTTATCGCCCCATTGCCCCCCCCCCCACTCATGCCCTCACCCCCCTGTTGTCTGCCCCACCCTCCCCTACCTTCCCTCTGAGGTTTGACGGTCTGATCGATGCTTCTCTGTCTCTGGATCTGTTTTTGTTCATCAGTTTATGTTGTTCATTATATTGCATAAATTCTTGTATGTGCCCTGGGGATCAAACCCACAACCTTGGTATATCGAGACGACGCTCTAACCAACTGAGCTACCCAGCCAGGTAATTACCACTATGAGGTAATTTTTGAGGGGTTTCAGTTGCGAGTTTGCAGCAGAGAAGGCTGAAAGAGCAGATTCAGGTCAGACTATTAAGAACTTGAAAGTAAGCTTAAGAAATATGGACTTTACCCAATGAGCAAAGAGCACTATGAGATTTTTAAGCAGAGGAAAGATTAATAAAAGTAATATTAGAAGACTGGTCTGCAGAGTTGCTCAGAAGAGACTTAGCCAAGAGATAGGATAAGCCGAAACCGGTTTGGCTCAGTGGATAGAGCGTCGGCTTGCGGACTGAAAGGTCCCAGGTTCGATTCCGGTCAAGGGCATGTACCTTGGTTGCGGGCACATCCCCAGTGGGAGATGTGCAGGAGGCAGCTGATCAATGTTTCTCTCTCATTGATGTTTCTAACTCTCTATCCCTCTCCCTTCCTCTCTGTAAAAAGTCAATAAAATATATTTTTTTAAAAAAAAGAGATAGGATAAGAGGCAGGATAGTAGGGGTAGTAAACATAATTCTATTCATTTCAAACTTAAGGAAATAGAAAGCTAGAGTTTTGCAGTCAGATCTAAAGAGAGAAATAACAATTGAATATACCAAGTTATTCTGGGTGTTTTTTTCTTATGCTGAAACAATTGGATGTCTCTAAGAAAAACCAGGCAAATAAACACAAATGATGTATACAAAGTTCACTTCTCAAAAGCTCACAAAGCATAATTTGCATAGTATGAATACTCTTCCAACATAAATTGTCCAAAACAGATTCTTCAGATATTTTAAATGTTTTAAAATAATTCTTTCTGACTATTCATAAATGGAGAGAGTGATAGCTATAAATGGATCATAACTGGGCAATTTTGCCCCCCAGGGTATATTTGGCAAAGTCTGGAGACATTTTTTATTATTACCATGTGAGGGTGCTACTGGCGTCTAGTGGATAAAAACAGAGAAGCTGTTAAACATCCTATAATGCACAAGACAGCCCAACACAACAAGGAATTATCCAGTCCGAAATGTCACCACTAACAAGGTGATGAAAACCCTGCTATAATCCCACTTAAAAGTATTTATTACTTTGGAAATTAAAGTGACAAGATCTAAAATTCAATTTTTACTACACCTTACAATATGTTTTCAGTACTCTAATCTGTTTTATACACTTACATACATTAACTATAAAACAAAAAAATAAAAGACATTAAAACATCTAAAAGCTTTCACATTCACCATGTATATCCCAATAAGTAGGGAAAAAAGCTCTAATTTTTACGTATCTACTCACACTTTCCCTTATTTGTGCATCTAGAAGATAGTTGTAGGGACAAAATATTATGTCAGCGTCTTCTATTAGTTCTCGTGCTGTGTAATATGGACATGCCTTTAATTTTTTCCCCAAGCTAACGAGTTCTTCTATGTCCCAGGCCTTGCACATCCCTTGGAGAGTCTGGAATGTGTGTTGACCACTAATTTTATGAACACCATGATAAAAATAGCAGGATTTGCCCTAAAAACAAATATGCATAATTGAAATGTGAACCAATATTGGCACAGAGAAATAAAACAAGTTTATCTCAGAATTTTAGTAACATCATTAAAGCCACAAAGCAAAGATGAGACAAATTATACCATGTCTACCATCCCAAACTAATCAGAAAACTTGTATTTGTACAAAATGATCACTAAGGTAGGTGACTTCACAGTCTATGATTAAAAACTGTTAAATCTCATCCTAACAAAAGTAGATATTCTTGCATACCTGAAATATTATTTTAAAATTACTTCTGGGGCTAGTTAAGGTAATTTTTTCTTAACTGAAACAAAATTAACTTTTAACAGATAAATGCATTGCATTTCCAGTATAAGAGCACATTCATAAAAGAAACAGTGAACAAAAACACATGTGCCTTTGGATCAAGCCAAAAAATCAGAAAGTTTACACTTTAAGGGCACTTAGAATGACACTCCTGTACAGGCTGATAGCAAAACCAGAAAAGCTCATCCATTTTAGCAGTGTAACACAACCCTGAGGGCAGTCTGTCAATTAAAGCGTTATCACACTTTACACTCTTTTTCACTCAAACTGTCAGTTATCTATTTATCATTTCGCTTTGGTAATTCAGCCACAGTAAACATAGACACCTATGGTGACTTTGTAATTGGCCCTCATTACAATACCAAATTACCCTAAGGGCTTGAGAACAAGAAAAAGAATGTTCATGTATGCCTATGAGCTAAGCATTCTGAGGCGAAATTAGGTCAAGACAAACAACTAAAAGCAGGTATATTCAATTATGTACATAGCTAATATTTTTTAAAGACTTGTTTACTTTAAAACAGAAACTAAATGCTAATGAAAAATTCTAAACATTCAAGTCTATTGAATTACTTTTTATTTTTACACGATTCAAACTTATGACAGTAAAGATCAATCAAAAAACATAACCAGCACTACAGTATTCTAGGGATTACATAAAATAAGATTATCTGCTTTCAATGCACAATCTTAAACTTTATAATTGCTTTTAATAAGGAGATAATAATCAATTATGGTAAAATTTTCCCAATAACAAGTAAAAAATAGGCAATGCCAAGTCTTCTTGCATAAACTATATAGACAAAAGAGAAATTTCAAGAATTTGAGGAATCCAGTAGATTAATTAACCACTTATGGAAAGAAGTCTACTTAAAAGTGCACAAAATTTATGGGTTTTTATCATGAAGAGCCTTTTCTCTATTTTATTATTTTTTTAGTATTTGACTTTTTACTATTTTCATCTCTCCTTGAAGAGAACTTTTTAAATATTGTGAAGATTCACAGTTCCTCAATTAAGAAGAACTTATTGGAAATAAATATGTAAATAGTATTTTCAACAATGGTTTTGATTCAATAATCTGTATTCTCTTCCTGACTCTGAACAAGTTCCCTAGTACTTCTACTTCATATTCACATGTCTGAATGCCTATTGAAACATCTTTTTAATATCCCAAACAAAGCTTGAATAAATTTCCATCTAATAAAATAAAGCAGAGGAAGAAAAGCATAATATAAAATAATTTATTTACATTATATAGTAGGAGATGATATATCAATTAAATGAAACTCTAGGGGCTATAGCCATCTCCTTTTGTGTAAAAATAACTCTGACAAAATACTAGTGAAAAATTGAACTTCAAAAATGTATTAAAATATCATCAGTCATTTCATCTACTATCAATTTATAGTTCACCAATAATTTCTGGGTATAATTACAGACTCGTAACTTCCATTTTAGAGTAAGCTAGTTATCAAACAGGGACACAAACTACCAAACTAATACTATGCCAAAAAATTATTTAAAAGTCGTGTCTTTAGTAAGAAAGACTTCTCTATTTCCACCAAATTTCTAGTCCAAATTCATGTCAATCTAGATTTTCCTGGAAAACTTCAAAACCACAATGACATATCTTTAAAGTTAGTAATTTAATATAATTTTTTGGAAACAGAAGTTTGTGTTAATCAGAATGAGACAAGGTAATCATTATATTTCTCATTCAATTAAAAAAACATTTTAAAATTTGCTCAAAGAAAACCTAAATAAACTATATTCCTTTGAAGTTTTAAATATGTATAAGACATTAATTAAATCTAGTCCATTTAAATACTTTTATCTCTTCATATGACATCATCCATGTTTGACTTACAAGAAAGTTAAGAAGACATCTGGTTTAAATGAAAATTAATTTCAAGGAATTAAATATCCCCAAACTTTAGGACAAAAACCATAATTTTAAACTTGAATAAAGATTTTTCTTGTGGTAAAATTAGTTTTCAAAAAATATTAATACTAACAATTAATTTGATTTCAAAAGTTATTTGATTATAACTGGAAATGTATATATAAAAAATAAACAAAAAAATTGAGTTAATGTAATCCTTTTAACCTTATTTTTTTCTCAAAAACAAAGTAACTTTACTCACATTTTTTCCATCCAGCAATTCCATGCACTTTTCATTTCTGTTGAAGTTACCTACTACTTCAGGATGGACACAAGTATGATCCCTGCTGGAAAGAATAGTCATTGGGACCCTTGAGTACGCTGTCCTCCGGAGTTCTCTAGTAATTTGAGCAATCTGCTTGTGTGTACGTGTTCCAAAATATATTTTTGGTATCTTGGATTTCCCCCCATGATCCTTCTTAGTGGCATTTGAAGAATCTTGACTGTTTCCTTGTTTAGTAGAACAACAGCACCTAGCACAGTGACCAGAGGGCTGTATAAGAAAAGAAAAAGATAACTAACATCTGAACTACCATAAAAAATGTCATCAAACCTCTCAAAGAATCAGAACCCATAGTAATGAATCACAACTTTCAAAAAATATCAAGATACCATCTAATACTTGCCATTAAAGAAAAACTACAAATTCCGTTTCAAATTGGTTCTCTTTCACTCTTAAAACTTATAAATGATATTTTCATATTTGCACTGGTTCCTACATACCACTCCAACTCTCAAATTCCAAATGCTTTAAATACATTTTAACTTTACTCTTTCATAAATTATAATAAGATAATTTTAATTTTTGCTTAGGCTTCAAGTGAACAAGTGAGCTTAGAATTGATAGTACTATTTTGTTTACAGCACAGCCCATTTAAATATCCTGTAATATACCTATATTTTTAAAGTATTTAAAATATAGCTTACAAAAAAATAGAAATATCAAGTTGAATCTAAGTATCACTGAACAACAGAAGCAAAAACTATTCTCTAGCAAAGGTATGAAAATGAATGCATATTATTAATATTTAATAATAAAGGCAAGTTGCTTATGTGGAACAAGTATATCTGAAATTCAATTACCTGTCATAAAATGCAAATCCATCAGTAAAATTATCATTCAGGATACCTTTTCCTGGACAATTTTACTCGTAATTCAGTTTCATAATTGAAATAGTTATATAAATGTCTCCTTAAATACACCATACATGGAACTTCAGGAATACAGTCTAATGTTTACCTGATTTTTTTCTCTCCTATTTCTAAACTCTCAAAAATAAAAAGCAGTTTAATGCTATATATTAGAACTCATGGATTCTTAATAACTACTACCTAACTTTAACCTTAATTACTATACATATGAGACAGAGTGCAGCCTTATTAAGAGAAATTCCATGAAATGGTTAGTTTATAGAAGTGATCACTAATGGGGGGGAAAAAGCTAAGTAGCACAGTAGCGTAAGAGAATTTGTACTGTAGAGTTATAGTTTAGTAGAACAAATATACCATTTAACTGAAGTGTTTTGAAAAAAATATAATCAGTAAGATTAGCCTTCATCAACAAATGCTAAGTCATATAGCATGTTACACCACAATACTGGGGCTCAAGCTGTCTTTTAGCCTCAACTCAGTGGAAAAGCAAGTTCAAATTACTGCCAGTCTCACTCAACCTTGTCCGCCATTAAATATTACAATACATGATAGAATGGATGTAAATGTGACCCTTCTGGAACTGTCACTCACTGGGATAAAAGGTTCACTGATGTGCCAAATAAACAGTCAAAGCAGATAAAGTTACAGCTATGCTGGAATTGTTACATTCCCCTCTCAGGTTGCCAGTAACAGCAGATTTCATTACAGAGTGCTGCCACATTAAATAGCCAGTTCCAAATATCCTGCCTTCTATATTGAATAATTACTTATTCACTGAAAGGATAAAAAGAAGAGTTATGAATGGAGCTCTTGTCAACAGTGAGGCAGGAAACAGCTGACATGTGGTTTATGTTACATATATTGCAATATCTGACAATTTATGGTTACACACAAAAATGGGATGCAAATTATATCATGATATTTCTGACTGAATTCTTTTTTGGCCTTTGCAATGATCACATTAATTAATTAACACAGTAAAAGAATTAGGGTAACTCTAGGTAGCAGAATTAGTTTACTTTTTTATACCTTCAATCTTTTCACTCAATTATACTATTTCTCTTCCCTATGATAGTTAAATTTATCCTGAATATTAGAAAGCTGGGGTCTAATCATTGCTGTATACTATGTGGATCTATTCTATCCAAACATAAAAGTAATCCAGTAAAGTGGTCTTTTTTGAAGGCTTGGACATCATCTATATTTTGATGGAAGGAACACTTTTCAACACCAATTCCACTTAAAAGTTTATCACCTGTCCTATACCTTGTAATTCCACTTTTTTCCCCGACCAAAAAATTCAAACAACACAGAAATACACAAAATAAACTAGCTCCCCATCCCAAATAATTCATTATAATTTTAGACCTTTCATATATGTATAAATACATCTTTCATATAATTTTTTCAAACAAAAAAAGAAGCTATTATACAGCTTTATAAGTTGCTGCTTTGTATTCAAACTTTTTAAAAGGTGTGAATTGGGCACTAATAATTTAAATAATGAATGTGTTTATTTTTAAATGTTATGCTTATAGCTGTACTAACAAAACTAAGATCAAGCACTAGTTTCAGAAAATGTTTCCACTAGAGCAGTTTTATTAAGGTATCTTAAATTTGTTTTTCATTTCATAATTTAAAAAATTATAAATGATGGCAAATTTTATATGAACATGTTTTTCTTTGTTTTGTTTTAAGATTTAAAGTGCTCTGAAATCATCACACCATCTATCAACTTAAAGTGTGTCCTCAAGAAGATAGTTTTTCAGTGGGTGGATGGGCAAGTAGAGTAGAAGAAAGAATTTAAGAAAGAGAGTTGATTCTTTTTCTTTTGTTATTGTAAAAAGAAATTATTTCTTCAGGAATGATCTATGAAAGGATTTGGTACAATCATATTTGAGAATGGAAAAAAATAAATGTGGCAATAGGACAGAGGCTTCAAAAAGACATTAATAACAAAAAAGAATTATTTGTACCCAAGTCAGCAACATTCAATGCTGTAAGAAAACTAGAGAAATAATCTTGAAAAGAGAAATGGCAGGAGGTCATAGTATACTTCAATTCAATGAAAGGCTAACACTTTAAAAGATAGATAAGACACTTTAAGGATAGAGGTGGGCAAAGGGGAATGGGGGGCAATGTAATAGTGGCGACAATAAATTTAAAAAAGAAGAAAGACACTTTAAGAAAGATAAAACACATGGGCTCCCCAAAACCTGTAATCTCTATGATCTGTAAAGCAGCTACACTGAGTGGCAGAAGCAAACTCTTTAAGAGAGGGCTTCTTCTCCCATAGCTAGAAACTGTCTATAGAGTCCTTTTACTTCCACAAAAGGCAAGAAAACCTAACCCAAATAATAGCATAAACCTATTATTATGCAGGATTCAATTATTCAAAAATACATTTCAAATCTACAGTAGCTAAAACTATTCTTAGAATGTCAGCATCCAGGGATTTTTGGAAAATGTTCTTCTAAAAACTTCTATCTAGTCCCTCATTTCACCTGGTATATAGAGACATATATCTAAATTCCTTGAAAAGATGAAGAGAGATTTTAAGATTTGATCTTGAAAAAAAGGCCAAAACTGCTGAGTCCTTGCCAGTATTTCTTTCACAAAGCCATATTTAGAAGTTCAAGTAGATTAAGATAGCACAGTGTCAATCTCTAAAATTTCATAACTTTCTCCAACCTCTGCTTACAACAAAAACAATTACTATACCTGAATACTTAAAAAATAAAAATAAGCATGGTGATTAAATATGCTTAGAAATAGAAAATGACAAAGGCATATTTTAAATTAGGGTCGATGAACTATTACAGAGGGTTAGAGATGACCCATAAACTACAGACACAAGTTTTTGTGCATTTCTAGAAAGTGACTCCATAATATTCATCAGGCGCTCAAAGAAGACTGCTATTTATTTGGGTGATGGCTTTACCCCAAAACTTATGTCTGATTTTATATGGAAATCAAATGGAAACAGCATTTTCTTTATAACCGTATTGGCCAGACACAATTATGCTGCAGAGAAATAAACAAACTGAGCCCTGTCCAGTGTGGCTCAGTTGGTTGTGCATCGTCTCATACACTGAAAGGTTGCGTTACATTCCTGGTCAGGGCATAATCTCCAGTAGGGGGCATTCAGGAGGCAGCTCTCACACTGATGTTTCTCTCTCTTTCTCCCACTCTCTGTCTCCCTTATTCTCCCTCTCCCTTCCTCTCTCTCTACAAATCAATAAAAAATATTTTTAAAGAAATAAACAAAATTATAATTCACACAAGATAGATAGATAGATAGATAGATATAAAAGCTTAAGCGACTGACCGACCAGCCAACCAGCCAGTAGCTATGACGTGCACTGACCACCAGGGGGCAGACGCTCAATGCAGGAGCAGAAACCACAGGCATGGAAACATGGAACAGACTGATGACTCTTAGAAGGGGGTAGGGGGAGTGGGAAGAGATTAACCAAAGATCTGATATGCATACTAGAGGCCCAGTGCATGTATTCATGCACGGTGGGGTCCCTCGGCCTGGCCTACGCCCTCTTACAATCCGGGACCCCTCAGGGGATGTCGGAGAGCCATTTTCGGCCCGATCCCCCCAGGCCAGGCCAAGGGACCCCACCGGTGCACGAATCCATGCACCAGGCCTCTAGTAATTTTATAAAGATTCCTCCACTGCTTGCAAATTCATTTCTTTTTTATATTTTTTAATTATTAATATTAACATAATTCTAAAACAGTTCAGTAATATTGATTTTAAATTCCATTTTACAGATGAAAAAAGTAAAACAAAAAGTTCTTCAAGTTACTACAAAACACAATAAATTTGTGGAGAAGTTAGAATTCATAACCTCAAATCTTAAAGCTTTAAGATTTATTATCATCTATCATTTAACTTGGCAAAAAAGCAAAATACTGCCTTTTTTATTTCAAAAAGTCATGCACATATAGAGCTAGTGGTAAAAAGCCAATGAGTGCAGAATTATATTACAATCTTGAGGCATAAAAAACAGGGTTTATTGTTCATCTTTATCAACCATTTGCTGTTGTCCAAACCATCTAAACAGGTACAGAATATCTGTTGTGCAAAATCTCACATAAGCACACACTCTAGCAAGATAGCAAAAGTGACATAACTATACCTTTTCAACTATTCTTTTTAAAAAATTCAAACAGTAGTAGTACTCTACCGCCACAGTTTCATGATTAAACTGCACAAAGCAGCTGTTTATCCACTCACAGCCACCAGCAGGTGAACCTGATTCAATATTTATCACAGGCTTTCACAGATCACTGCTAACCAAGCAAACGTTTTAATTAAGCTGGAACTTG